CCCCCCCATGGCACCTAGCACAGTATCTTAGATATTATGGGAAATCAAAACATATCTATTAGTTTTAGAGGAAACTTTACATTATAGAGGCTTTCCACCATTTTAAAAGCATACTTTTGGAAAAATATAGGAATGTAAAAGAGATATCTTTGCCGTCAGCCAAGAAATCTTTTCCCCAGGATATTATTCTTGTTACTCCCAAGTGAAGCCCTTAGTTCCAAATATACATTATGAGCCTTTTTTCTTCTTTTAGCCGTGAGCATTTCTCCATCTAACTGAATCATCAGGCTTCCTGCTGTCTCTTGTTTATAATCGCACCCTCTAGGCAGATTTTCCAGATAGAGTGAGGGGTAGGATGGTACCGCACCAGCTACATGCTCTTGTTACCCAGACATCACCCGTCTGATCTCCCTGCAACCTGGGCAGCTCCTAACAGCCACCTTGGTGGTTACCAAGTGGTCACATGCCCTTTTCTTCTATAAAAACTTGCCCCTCTTCATTTTTAAGTGGGTTTTGCAGTTTCTTGTCTGCCTTGATGGCCTGTTGACCTATAAAGACTGTAAAGAAGGAAGAATAAGGGGGAATAAAGGGAGAGCGAGAGCTATTGAGGGTGTAAGGGGAAGCATTTCACAGTGGTCTGTAGCTCTAGAGAACTGAATATGAAACCGAAGAGGAACAACCAGGGAGGGGCAGTGTGGGAGGAGTCACACTGTAAACGAGATCCAGGTTGGACCAGGCTTTATCCTGTCCTTATTGCAGGATCTGGAGTCAGTGACCTTCATAGGAGGGACAGCTGCATGTGCACATGTACATACCACACACACACATTCACACGTGCAATACACAATCTGAAGATGGGAATGAAGACCAACAACAAAAGCCCGTAGATATTCTGCTTCGGTGGAGAGGAACAGTGTTCCAGAGAAAGAGGCTTTTTCATGTATTGACAGATACTGTCTTTGAGACACGTCATTTTGTGCACTTCTCTTGTTCCTTTTGAAGTGTGGTGGGTCATGGGTGACAAGGGCAGAACTTCATAGAAGGAGTATTTGTGGCCTGTTGCAGATTCAGCCTGTGTAAGAAAGTTTCCACGCTGATGTGGCTTTTGCTCGGTGTTAGTCCTTGCCTCTGAGAGGTTCCACTTATTTTCTGTGTGTTTCACTTTGAGTGTATGTTACTGGATGTTTCAGGTTGTCACTAAGAACAAAAGTCACATCACTATTTCTCTGAAAGTAACTGTCAGCTTTCGATACAGCTTTCATCAACCTTGTTGCTTCTGATCTTGCTTCTGGAGCTCTGAGCAGCACCCAGGATGTTACCACATTAGTACCGATCAAGCAGGGGTTGAGGGTCATCTTCATAGTTGTGGTCCCGGCCATGATTTATACCAATATATATGTCAGGCTTCTGTGCTGAGCACTTGTGCTTCAGTATTGAGGTGGGCTTAGTGTAGTGTCCTCTTTATCTTTGAAGGCTTTTTATCCCTGCCCAGTAGCTTTTGTGCCACTCTGTTATCAGAGAAATGCATGGATGGCCTTTCTCTGTTGCTAGTGAAAGTGAGGTTCTCGGGGTGCTGCTGGTATAAGCATTTCTGGAAGCCCCCACAGGAGGATGAGATGTGGTAGAGAGCTTTATATGCATGGAGTTATTTCTCTGGATTCGCAAAGTCCCATTTCCCTTAATCCAGTCCTGAAAAATGTGCGGTTGGAGATTCAGCAAAGCTAGAAGCAAAGCCAGTGTCCAGAGTTTCCGTTCCGTGATGGAGCTGGGTTGGGTATAGCATTAGGCTAGTTGCAGTCCATCAGTCCATTGTGTGTGGGGCCCACATGGCCGTGAGCCATGTGGGCAAATGCAAGAGCATGAGAGACCCGCAGGCCAGGAGTCCAGCGCAAGCAAGCAAGAGGCAAGAGAGAACTCCTTTGTTTAGGAGCTTAAGTATCTCAAATCTTCCTGTTCTTGTGGTGGCCGTACCCACTCTGGCCAATGACCTATTCCCAGATGTGACTGACAGGCAAGTAACTTCCCTGCGTCACCCAGGTAAATTACAATGGTATCAAGACCATTGGGAGCCTAGCAGATTTAGGGAAGGGGAAGGACATTGGAGGTAGCAGATGTGAAGTCTACCCTTGCCTGTCTGCCACCAGCCCTGGAAGTGAAAAGCTGGCAAGTGCACATGGCTCTTGGCATTAGGAAAACCTTGCTAAAAATGAAATAAAAATTCCTCTGCTGGACAGGAAATTAATCAGGGCTGAACGTAGTAGACGGGAACATAAGCTAGACTCCATGTTCCATCACTGATGAGTATTTTATTATTATGTAAATGAGATTAAATGCACAGTGACTGGTGGGGGATTGTGAAGGGGGGAGAGAAATGAAAGAGGATAACAGGTTCCTTAGGATTTAAACCCTGGCAACAAAAATCTTTTTTATAGTGTCTGCTGCCTCTTAGTTCATCAAATGCTGAGCAAGGGAAGTTCCTCAGCCTCTTTGGTCGTTGTTTCTGCAAAGCAGCCTTCATGACAGCGTGCTACATTGTGGTTTATTCATTCCATGACACTTTCCGATCATCCATAGTGAACCAGGCCATATGCCAGGTGTTGGGCTAGATCATGAAAACACCTACTCTGTGCCTTCTAGGAGTTTAGAGTCTGGTAGGAAAGGACGTTGGAAAGCACTAAGTCTGCAGAGAGCCAGCCAAATAAGAAATGGTGTCAAACCGCTTAGGATTCTTTGGTTGAAAAGTAATTGAAACAGAACCCAGCAGGCTTCAGTAAAAAGGGAACGAATGGGTAAATGGGAAACTGAATGGCCATAAAGGAGCCTGGGAAGGAAGCTCTGGGGATATACAGAACAGGAACTAAGGGACAGTCTCTTCAGGACCTTCGGGTGAATCGACTTCATACAACCGGAGGTCTATTCACTCAAGGTTCAAATTCCCAAAGAAGGTATCTGAAGGACCCTGGGTGGGCCACTTGTCCACTTCTTGGCTGAGGGAAAAAAGGAGACTTGGTTAGTCTCATGAAGGTTGTGTGCACTGGCAAGGGGATCTTTCCCCAAAGAGACTGGGTGCGAGAGAGGCAAGGACTCAGTTCACAGGGGGCACCGTGAAACTGAGCTGTCGACGTGTCTCTCAGGATCGCTGGCCAGTGAGCAAGCGTGTGTTTTATTTTGGGTGTGCTCATTGCTGAAGTTATGACTGTTCGAGGCTATAAAACTTCGAATCGCTAGCCTATAGGTGCATCACCTCATTGCCGTTTCTCTGTCGTTCCCTTGATTCCAGTGTGAGCAGTCCCACCTCATGAGGGAGCACGAGGACGTCCAGGAGCGAACGACGCTGCGCTACGAGGAGCGCATCACGGAGCTCCACAGCGTCATCGCCGAGCTCAACAAGAAGATAGACCGCCTGCAGGGCACCGCCATCAGGTAGCAGCCCGCGGGTCGTGCTTCCTCTGCCCCCTGGGCCGGAACCCGGGGCTTGGCATGGAAGTCACCCCTGTGAATTATAACAGTGTTTTATTTGCAGCTAAGACTTCTCCAGGAAATAAAGTCGTTTCTTTTTGCTTTGTTAACCACACACTTGCCCCTTTATATTTCTGTGCTGATTCAGGATGGCTTTGGGCATCCTCGGTTTATTGATAAGGGTGTGAAATCAGAAGTTGAGTGAGATGCTTATTAACAATTTCTAAATGGAGCCCCTCTACCTGAGAGACCAGCATCCCTAGCGCGCCTTTTATTCACCAAGTCCCCGCTCATGTGTGAACTGTGGGCCTCCATGGGGATTTTGAGAGATTTAGGAGTGAGGCTTATAACAAAGCATTCTGTGGGTTTCTAGATAATCTAATATTTTGAGCTTACCTCAAGTTGATTTACCAACATTGGCTTAGCCTCTTACAGACTCCTAAGGTGGAGGCAAGATCGATCCATCACTAGTGAAAAGGCTGGGGTTTGATATTAAGGGACTGCTTCTTCCTTGCTTATCAATTGGTGGGCCTCCGAGTCACCTGCACAGAGCACGTGGCACGCCTGCCCTGCTGTTCAGAGGAGAGGTTTTTGCTGTGACTTACTGAGCGAAGGATGAGAACTGTTATCTTCCTGCCTGTGCTCAGGAAACAGCCCTGAAGAAAGCAAATGGTTGGCACATACCTTTATGGAGAAAGAGCGCTTTGTTCACTGAATGTTCTCACAAGCCACAATTACAAGTTTTAGAGGCAGCTACTTTAAACTCTCCCTCTGGAAAGCCTGGTTTAGAAGAAACTTTGGATGCATTTTGTTCCAACTCTGAGAGTTGTAGTAATGACAGGGCTACTTGATGAGGGCACTGATGGGCCTGTGTTTCCTGGGCAAAATCGTGGAAAAATTGGCACTGAACTGGAGCCACACAATAAATTTCATATTCTAATTTAGAACCTCCAGACTTTTAAATTGTATCCTGGTCTTTGGATTGATTGCAGGTTAGCAATGCCTGAGTGGAGAGGGATTTCCAGCCCAAAGAAATAATTATAGCAGATTTCAGGGAGGCTGACAGATTTGTAATTTTCATTAAAACATGTTGCACTTTAAACACGTGAAGATGAAGGCAAATGGGCTTAGTGAGTTGTGAAAAAAATGCATCACACATCACCTGGAAAACTCAATTTCAGCATGTTTAAATTGAACATAGTGGCCAAACTGCTCCATATAAAAATACAGTGAGCTTGTTGACCATAAACATTTATTAGTGCCTTTTATTGAAAGGAAAATTGCATCTGTGCAGATGTCACATTAAATTCTGCCAGTTTTCATTATGTAAATGAACTGACCCCTCCTGAGACTCCCCGAAGGTCTGGAAGACATGCAGACATGTGGGCCTGTAAGACAAGGCTCTTCTTGTCCTCTGAACTCCAGTAGCTAAGGCATCGTCCCAGCTCCCAGCACACTAAGAAATTGGTTTGCCCTCAGGTCCTGAGATTCTATGATAGGCTCAGAACAGTAGCAGCCAGACACCTTGGAAGAACTCTAACTGCCCTAGTATAGCCAGGGGCTAGAGAATTGATTGTCATAATAGTCACGTACAATGTTGGTACCTTACAGACTTTCCTGTCACTTCATTCTGGATCTGACTCAGGAATTTATCGAAAAAGCTGAAAAATTATTAATAAGGAAACAGTTTAGGTAAACTATGATATATCCACATTTAAGCAATACTGAATTGCTTAAGGAAAGAACATGACAATCTCATAGTTTTCAATTTTGACCTCAGGTCACATTCAGAGAACCAGGGACCTTCTGTGACTGCCCTAGAACATTGTCCCATCTCTTATAGCCATAGGGCTAATGTAGCCAAGAATCAAATACTGTAGGTCGCTGAATTCCAATGTAAGTTGAAGTTACACCATATCGGCTATCTTAGGTAAAGTTTAAGCTTTGACAGGAAACGATGAAATTATGAGAATTTGAAATGGAGACAATTGGGTAGATTCAAATCAGTCCAAAGCAGTCATTAAAATGGGATATTTGATGCCATTTAACTACTAGAGTCACTGTGGGCTGGTTACTGTATTGGTCAACAGAGCAACAGTAGCAATCAAAAAGGTCTGACCTGTGGAGATCTTCGATACTGGCTAATTGATCATAGGGTCTCTAGGACAAGTATAAACAGGTGGCCTACTAAAGTTTTACTTGATCTTTGTAGTGAAAAAGACTCGGGTCTGGCGAACAGAGACTGGACTTGCCATTGCAATGAAGACTCATGGCCTCTTACCCAGTTTCTTTGACCTGACCCAGTACACTGTCCCAGGGCCCCTTGGATGAAGGGGAAGATGTATACAATCCTGCCACAAGTGGGTACAGTCTTCCTTCTCTCCTTCCAGAGAGAATCACTGCCACTTACAGGGGAGACTGCAGTGGGAAAAAGAGAATAAAAATTCCGGGGTGATTATTTGCTCTGAATGAACTGATGATAGCCCCTAGAGACCCAAAATACCTACAGACCATCAGTTAGAGAGGGAATTTTCAAAGGTATATTGTTAGTCAGCTCAGGCTGCTGTAACAAAACACTACAGATTGGATGGCTTAAACAACAGGAATTTATTTCTCACAGTTCTGGAGTCTGGGAAGGCCAAGATAAGGTGCCAGGCAAGGGCTTGCTTCCTCATTTGGAAAAGGTTACCTTCTCACTGTGTCCTCACACGGCAGGGAGAGAGAGAGATGAAGCAAGCTCTCTGGTATCTCTTCTATAAGGTCACTAATCCCATTATGAGGCCCCCACCCTCAGGACCTCATCACACCTAATTAACTTCCAAAAATCCTATCTCCAAATACCATTATATTGAAGGGTAGGCTGCAACTTATGAGTAGGAGGCAGGGGGCACAATTCAGTCCATAGCAGAAGGTCAGGTGGTGAGCACATTATTACCTGAATTCCTGCCATAATAGACCTAGTCTACCATGCTGCACCATTTGAGAGAGACACGTTTTTCAATGCCCTGGAGATACAGTAAATGCTCCCAACCAGCAACAGTATATAGTGCTGCCTTTTTATGGGGTCCAGGGACCAAAAGGTAGAAGTAGAAGTGGCTCCTCTCATTTATATACCCTGAAACCCATTTTAAGAAATTGTGGCTTCTCATGGTTACAACTCTGAGCTCTGCTAGTATAGAAGTCTTAGTTCCCAAGGGAACTATGTCTCTACCAAAGAATACGACAATGATTCCACTGACTGCCACCAGGCCCTTGGCAATGAAGAGAGTTACTGTACTAGCTGGGGTGATTGGTCCTAACTATCAAAAGGAAATTGAATTGTTGCTATACCATGGGGCAGGGAGGACTATGTCTGGAACCCAGTGGATTCTCTAGGGTACCTCCTAGAAGTTGCCCACTGGTAACAGTTAGTACATTAGAACAACCTAGAAGAAGGAAGTTATAAATATCAACTTAACCTCATGACCAGTTGCAAATAAGTTGGTGAAACTTACAGTTAAATAGGTTACATGATATCTAAGTGGGCTTGATGTTGAACTAGAAGATGGGTGGATCATTTAACAGTGGATGCAATACCTGATGGGACTTTGAGTCTCCCATTTTGGCGAGAAAGTGTGTTCATTTACATTTGAATGAGGGATAGTTACAGAAGTTTGGTATCCATTGCTACTGCAATTTGAAAATTGAAGTGTAAGAGAGTATATATGGATATGGAGTAACCAAAGAGAGTAGACTCTCATGAATATTGTCTGGCACCTGGTACCATTCCCACCCCTTCTCTCTATACTCCCCAGGATCAAAGAGGTTGGACCCTGGGACTACTTCCCAGATTCCCTTAACAACTGGGTTCTGAATACAGTTTTGGCTCTGCCAATGACTTGTACTCACATGGGACTGGAAGACAGAAGGGAGGTGGAAGCCATTGCCCCTCAGGCCATGATGGATGGTTGCAGCTGATGTACAGGCTTTGGTGACATGATGTCCTGCATTAACTGGTCAAACCCTGGAGCTGTGGACAGGTGTGAAGGCAGCACCAGCTTCCTGACCTTTGAGGGGACCACAGCTATGATGGCAAACCTGACAGCTCCTAATAGCCTCTATCCACCCTTCTCTTCTCCAGCCCTTCCAGTGGTTTTGCTGGCACAAAACTGCCTAAATTAAATCCTTTCTATTTGAAACATCCAATGTAGTTTGTGTTCCTAACAGAACCCTGCCTAATGCTTCCTAAATCCCATCTTCAGGAATAAACAGTGAGCATTTTGTATATATGGCCTTCTAAAAAAATTTATGAATATCTTAAACAAATTAGGTCATATAGCACACACTGTTTTGTAATATGTGCTTTTTCACTTAACTGTATTTCATAAGTAGCTTTTTTAAATGCTCATCTGGCTTGGGGACGTTACAGAATAAGATGGGGAAAATGGAAAAATACATCAGTAACTCACTTGCATCTGGGGGGTGAAAGATATCTAAGCAGATTAAACATGAGACCTTTTGTTTCCCAAGAAGTTTATTTTTCCCCCCAAAAGCAACTTTCATAAAAGCATCAACCTTTCACTGCCAACTCTCACGAGTAGCCCATGTTTTCCGCTGCATTTCCCATTTGCTTGTTAGCCCACTGCTGTCTGGCTTCCGACCCTAACAGTTTGCCCAAACTCCTTTAGCTGTGGACTGAATTGTGACCCTGCCCAAATTCACTTATTAAAGCCCTAACCCTTCCTGTGATGGTATTTAGAGATGGGGCCTTTGGGAGATAAGTTTAGAAGAGGTCATGAGGATAGGGCCTGCGTCATGGGATTAGTGAGCAACTTCATAAGAAGAGACACTAAAGAACACAAACTCGCCCTCCCTGCGTGCCCTGAACCCCACCCCTACCTGCTGTGTGTGGGCACAAGGAAAAGGCAGCCATCTGCAAGCCGGGAAGAGAGCCCTTACCAGAAACTGGCTATCCTTAGTCTTGG